CTCCTTCCGAAATAAGCATTCTACCGGAAAAGTGATGCTATACTAAAACTGCTAAGGGAATAGGCAGACTAATTTTAATTAAAAAACAACGATAAAGCTAACAGTATGGCTCATAAGGATGCCATAATTTAAACAGAAAGAAAATAGTTTATCGCCTTAATTTATGTTGAACTGAATATTTGTATTACCGCTTTATATTTTGATTAGTTTACCCCGAACGACGTCGGGTGCTCTGCTAATCATTTATAAATATGCTAAAGAGAAGAGGGTCAAATATGGAACCCTGTGGAACGCCGGAGTGAATGTGCAAAAGATCGGAGAAAATGTTATCAACTTTTACTTTTTGCATTCTATTACTTAAGTAGCTACTAAGAAATCGTACTGCTAAATCCACAAAGCCAAACTTTTGTCAAATTTTCTCACACAACAAGATATGGTTAAAGATTACACTATATAAATACCATTAAATATAAAATGCATGCATGTGTTTTCTTTGAATTGATTATTTTGTCAAATTTAGCGGAATTTCTGTAATTGAACGAACTGTTCAATTAAACGAGTATCGGTTAATAGATTCCTCGATGCAAATAGTTTTATATATGTACATGAGACCATATCTTCAAACTCAGCTACCAACGCCAAAGCAAACCTATGTATGTATGTATATTAGATTGCATCACCAAAAAAGTTGCCGTTTTTCCGCCGGGATTATAAAATTTATTATATTTTAAGACGTCCACCAAAATATTTCGGAAAAATATTAAGATTTAAGATTTGAAAATACCTCCAAAATTGGAGTTTTTTATGAATAAAAATAGTTTCTTAAAGAACTTTTTGAAAAAGTCACCTCAGATGACAAAACAGATTAAGCTTAAAAATCTGCTTAACAATATTTAAAAATCTTTTCAACGATTGAAAAACTTGAATAACTGGGCCGAAAATATTCTGACTTAGACTTATGGGATCTCAGTAGAAATGTATTTTCACACTGTTTTTATTTCTGTCCAAAAAAGGTCATTCGTGTCCCAAATACCAACACATCTTAATTCAACTTTGAATGATGTTCGTTCATCCTACCTTTCTCTTTCATCCTTTAAATGAGTTTATTAACAACAAAAAATGAGAAAATACCTTTCCAATGACACCTCTTAAGTCTAAATCAGAAGATTTTAGGTTCAGTTATTCAAGTTTTTCTAATACCAATCTTTGAAAAAAGTTCAAAAACAGCATCAAAAATCTCATTTTTTTATATTTTTATGCAAATTTTTTAAGCTTAAACCGTTTTGTCATTTGAGGGGATTTTTCAAAAAAAAATCTTTAAAAAGCAATTTTTGTTCACAAAAAACTCCATTTTTAGAGGTATTTTTAAATCGGTCCAGCTCACGTAAATGGGGAGTGATGCAGTCTAATATATATATATATATATATATTTCAGATGTTCATGAAAGGTAGGAAGGTACGAAGACAGCGCTGCTCTTACTTGGTTATTTTTTGGCGGTGCCATCAGATCTCCACGATTCGTTCTATTTTCAAAAATGAAGCTTAGATTAATAACCTTGACCTGTAGACCATAGAGGTTTATTACCTGTTATATTCAAATTTTTTAATAAGTTAAATGAATTATTAAGAGGTGGGTATCAATCGAAATGTGCATGAAAAGGGTTTATTTCTTAGCTACATGTAGAGGGTTTCCTCCTGTTAAAGAATCAAATTCCACTGGAATTAAAGGAATTAGGTTATTGAAATAGATATGTAGATATCACCATATGGGAGTCAGACGAAAGGGGTTTCAAGAAGGTTTTAGCTTCCAAATATTACGAAGAGGGTTGCCACCTGTTTGTAAAGTCAAATTTAGTTAAACTAAAATAATAATTGTGTCAATTGTGTTATTTTATTACAAGTGCATATATTGCCAGTCAGTGATTTGTTCTGATTACATTCGTTTTAACTTAATGAAACTCTTAAACTCAGGAATGCTGTTACTCTTCACTTATTTCTTATACCCACAGTGATTTACATATTTCAGTTACCTTATTCCCTTAATTAAAGTGAATTTAATTTTTTAAACATGTGACAACTCTTATACGTGTCGTCTAAAGGTAAAACATTTTCAAAACCATTTCAATTGATACGCAAATTGTATTATCTAGTTCATTTAACTTATTAAATAATTTTAATAAAATTTGTAACAGGTGGCAACCTTTAAAAAAAAAAAACTTTATTGCACATCTACAGACCAAGCCCTGTCATTTTACACCTCACTTTTGAAAGTAGACCGAAGTATATGTGCATACCTGTGCAAATGCCACAAGAACCCAAATTTTCAACTTCAAACCGCATTTACAGTTACAGTTTTGAATTTAGCGTCCTCAATTTTACTAAGAAGCGAATTTTCATTTAAATCCGTATAATAATTCTATTTTTGTCCACATTTCATATGGAAGGGAAGCACTGTGGTACGGCTCGAAAAACGAGAAACTTTATCGAATATGTTGTGATAGACGAAGGACACACTTCGAGGGCCAAACATAGACTCGGACCACGCGCAAGAAAAGTGTGTCCAGCAATGCAAGGAAAGTCAATTCCGAAAAGCAGAAATCACAACAAACGGCCAGTTTATTCGCCACTCGACTCTTACACTTGCTCTCAGAGGGCACTCTTCAACAAACCCACATATACGAGCAGTGGAACAGCATTTCCCGCTCATCACGTACCGCCGCCGAAGAAGTAGTCGGATTTATGGTACGGTGAGGAATGTCTCGAAGCTGCAGAGAAAAACAAAGCTAGGTGACTTATGGAAGGTTTGCAGACCGATGTCCAGAACATACTTAATTTCTGGAGGGAACCCTTTTCCGCCCTATTTAATGGTAGCGTAACAGCACTGCAAGTAGTAGATAAGATGAGCCCCAGCTCCCAAGGTACGAGGTAGGAATAACAATTGCGCGGCTAAAAACAACAATGCTGCGGGAACTGACGGCTTCTCAGGTGAGATATTCAAGCACGCGACGAAGAGTTGATAAGGTGGTTGCATCAGCTCCTATGCAGAATATGGTCAAACGAACACATACACGAATACAGGAATTTAAGTATGCTCCGCTCAATCCACAAGAAAGGCGACCCCGCACTACGCGCAAACTATCGCGGGATCAACTATAAAGACCTTTATCCCTGCCCCATAATTCGATCCGCAATCTTTGGAATGGTGCGACAACACAGTAGGATCTCTATCGGCTATTGCGGTTGCCGCATAATTGTGGTGAAGTAATTATGGTTCTAAATTCACTAGATATGTTTGTATGTACTTATGTGTATTACCCCTAGTTCAGAACTAGTGAATTTCCGTACAGGGATATATGTACATTAGAGATGTTAATTTTTCAGCTTTTTCCAATCCCGGGATTTTCGGGATGTCGTTATCACAATCCCGGCATCCCGGTATTAGTCTCGGGCTTTAGATGTTCTTTACTGTTCAACTTAAATCGAAGCAATTGCTACTATATTGTTTAAGAAGCCTCCTACCAAAAAAAAAATAAATAAATGGGTTAGAAAAATACTCTTATTTTAAAGTGCCGTTTTTATTTTTTATCTCTGACGTTAGGATGTATTTTGAAGGACGTTGTAATTTCAAAGATATGATTAATTCCAAAAATTATTTAAAAAATTCAATGCAATGTAGAATAAAAATACGGATACCAAATGCAAAAGGAAATATCTTTAGAAGTAAAAAGAATTTTTTTGTTTTACAAAGACGAATAGGTAATTTTTTAAGCTGATAAAGCTAGAAGGACAAAATGGGGTTCATATAAGTCCTTAACATATATTTTTTTCAAAAACAAATACATATTGCGAAATTTCAAGGATACAATTTTAAAAGGACATTTTCAATACTTACCAGTCCAGTTAGTCGGCCGCTGTGGTGTAGTGGTAAGCAGTGCGCGCTTTCACTCATCAGCACCTGGGTTCAAGCCATGGTCAAAGCAACATCGCAAAAAAAATATAAAAAAAAGGTTTTTTCTTAACAGCGGTCGTCCCTCGGCAGGCAATGGCAAACCTCCGAGTGTATTTCTGCCATGAAAAACAGCTTCTCATAAAAATACAATCGCCGTTCGGAGTCAGCGTAAAGCTGTAGGTCCCTCCGCTTTGTGTGACAACATCAAGGCGCACGCCACAAATCGGAGGAGAAGCTCAGCCAAACACTAACATATGTGTAAGCGCCAATCTATTATTATTATTATTATTATTACCAGTCCTTTTGCACCAAAAACTTGAATCTGTTTAAATTCTACAGGATTTCTTCTTTAATTTGATACCCATATTTCTTCTCTAAGCACATTTCTCTGAATTTTTTAAATCATTAGGAGTTTCTATTATTGCCGTTAGTGCAAATTACAAATCCCAAATGCCAAGAATCCCGGGATTTTTGGGACCTTAAAAAGTCCGGGATCACGGGATTAACATTCCTAATGTACATAAAATTGTATCAATATATATGTATGTACATGTGTATGTACGCATCTCTCACAGGGAACCACTTATATATATACATATTTATGTATGTAGGACTCATTTATTCTCACCTTTTTCCTCATTCTTTAAAGCATCGTGTCTTTAATTTTTAAAACTGTACACTGTACTTTCGCTGCTAACACTTTTTTAACATCGATCTAAAACCGATTTTCAACTTTTGTTTACGAATAAATATTAATTTAATAGAAATTAAAAATTTTCCCCTAAACCGTTCGAACATATGTATTTAGCATCTGAAAATAAGCGAAATACACATGCGATCGTCAACTTCAAAAAATAAACTGATGCACTAGAATAAACATGCCATCATACTAACACACTGCTAGCAAGTATAGTATTGAGTACAACACAAAAAAATGTACCTGGCTAGGCATTTATAAGAGCTTTATATCCACATATACATACATAAATACATCAAGAATATCTATTTTTCTTCAGTTATCTCTATTTTTCCAAAGTATTCGTAAGAAATTCGAAAGAACTTTAGTGAAATTAAAAATGAGTTGCATCAAAATGTTGCGCTTGAGTGTACTAATCATTCATATAAAAACTAACAATAAGTGTAATATTAATATTATCGGAGAATCTTGTACTTAGTCTAAAATCTGTCACATATGTATGTATAACGATATCCACACCTTTTTCCTCTATTAAATGAGTTTTGCATGTTCTTAAGATTTTCTTTGCAGCGCTGTAAGAAACCGTTGACATCCTAACTGGATTTTCAGGGTACGATCAATGCTCAACCCATGTTTAAATATTTGACCAAAATATCTGTGTTCGTATGGAAAAGTAGCTTATGTCGAAAGGCTGGCTTTAGTACAATGCGGCATTCCCTTCATTCTTTAAACGACAAGAAATTTTTCGATGAGATTTAACAAGAATATTGACTTGCTAGTATCGGAACTATTTCTGGCACGTTTATTTGTCAAACGTTGTTCAACGGCTCAGTGCCTGTGAGTCATTTGCAATCGCATGCTGCGAATGCCGATTTATACTAAATCCAGCCCTTCGACATAAGCTACTTTTCCATACGAACACAGATATAATCCTATAATTTAAACAAAATGTTAAGTATTTTCGAGAACCTGGTAATTGAATTTAAGCGAGTATGAATTAATTTAATTTAGTTTTTGATATGGGGATATAGCTGATGAATTAACAAACGACAATAAACCAAGTCGAAAATATGTAAGTTAAAAACACATCAGGTAAGTACGTAATTGAATAATACAAAAGGGGATTAGAGAGAAGCAACCATTGTTAAAGTTGAAAACTATAATTTAATTTATATCTATTTAATAGTATTAAATAAACTAGAAAATTGTTGCATGCTGCAAACCACTGCGTTTATGAAAACGAATAATTAGTTACAGTGACTCAAAGAAGTGCCCACATTCACATGTTGATTTTTTTAAATATGCACAATATATATAAATTTTTTTATTTCTTATAAAAACGTGAGCAGGCGGTCCGGGCGAACCAGTGGCGGATTTGCACAAAGGCCCAACAGGCCCGGGTCTAGGGCGGCCAAACATTAGGGATGGCCAATGTGGCAAAAAAATACAATGGTAACAAGACACTCACGACTGTGTAAACTCAATATAGCGACACTTAACCCTTAAAAGTTATATCGTTGTAAACCGGTTATGGGCACTGCCTTCAAAGCTCTTTTAAGCTTTCTATACATTTTGTATAAGCGCGTGCAGAGTAAAAGTTCTCTCTGCCCATCTCTGTTATAAACACACCCAGGTCTAACGAACATTAGATACCCGGCGCAAGTATTAAATATAGTTTTTTCACCATTCCGAAAACTGCCGCTGCATGGTAAGCAGGGATGGTTTTACCCCTATTTCAAACATCTTCGATAAACTTATATTGTATGTGGACGCCCATTTTCCAAAATTCCATAATAATATAAATTTCAAGGGATTGTTGTTAGTTTCAATTTAGAGTAAAATAGCGTTTTTAAAAATTTCGAAATATCGAAGTTTGAAGCATTTCTGAAATTTTCCGTTATATGAAAAGCGCCGAGTTTGTACAAATTGATCGAGCGGTTACGGAGATACAGATACACGCCCATTTTCTAAAATTTTATCATAAACGTATTTTTTGCTAAACAATTATGGCAAACATCAATTTTGAATAAATTAGCGTCAGTAATACCTGATTTATCGAAGATTTCGTATTTCTCTAAATTACCATTATATGGGATGTGGGTGTGGTTATTGTCCGATTTTAAAAATTCTCAGCCGTTTGTTATGTTGTAGCAAGGTCAACTTGGGTCCACTTGTCAAATAAAGTTAAATTGACTACACAAGGAAAAAAGCAACTTGAAACAGCGTAATTTTCGGGGTTTTCATTTAAGCGGTTTGAAAATTTTGAACAGAAAAGGTATTTTATAAAGCATTTTCGCATTATCATAGTTTACTGCTCATTCGTAGTTCATAAACAAATCAAGTAATTTTTGCACGTAAAATTTGTCAATAAATGCGAAATTCGCGAAAATTCAATTTCAAAAATTGCCTATCATAGTAATACATTTTTGAATCAGATTTTTTAGAAAAGTTTTGGGCATGCATGTTTATAGCCTTTTTCATTTCAGTATAATAAGGTGCAAGTTCGAAGTTGTGCATTTTCTTCGATACAAAAATACGAGTATTTTAGAACATAAGTATGTATTTTGTGTGGATGAAAATACGAAACGTCTCCAACCAAAAAAAAAAATTAACAAGCCACAATAACATTGACAAAAAAAAAATCACAAAAATCAACGCGAATTTTTAGGTACTTCAAACGTTCACTTCCTGTACTGAAATTGTATGAGCTATAAAACTTCGTGCCCAAAAAGTTTCTATCAGCCTGGTACTACGCAGCCATGTTTTTAACCGGCAAATCGTTCAAAAACTTATTTCTGAAGTGTGGCCCTGTATTCTAGCTTTGTAAATCAATGGAAAAGAATATTCGTCGCAGTTACCAAGCACTTCACGTTGCACACAGGAGTATTTGTATAATAAAACCGGTAAAAGCTCAGATTTATCAACTTTGGTATTCTTTTTAAACATATTCTCAAGCTATATAACCCATCTATTTGTTGGAAGGATTTTTGGCTACGTCAAATAGAACATAGCTCTTTTTGTGTTTTTTTTTCTGCGCTTCCAATAGATGCATTTGTTTCTTTCGTTTTTCATAGACCAATCTTAAAATAAAACTGGTAGACATATAACTACAAAGCATATACTATAACTTATATTCTTTTGAACTATTAAAAATGGGGCTATGGGATATTTATTTTTAGCAAAAAAATCAAATAAATAACAGTCATTTTGTGTGCTTGTCGAGCCTTGTCAGGCAATATTCTTTTATAGGGATATATTTTGGATCCTTGGCTATAAACCTCTGTTATAAAACTGTCAGCCTACGTCTGCTCTCTGCGCTATTTAAGTGGAAGTTAAAGATCCTGCAAAAGGGAACCCAAGCAGAATTGTTCAACGGCTAGTTATAGGGAGATGTTGTTGTTGTTGTAGCGGCACTACTAAGCCCCGCCATTTTCGGGTCTACGTTCCATCATTGTCGTCGAGCTCAACTAACGGGAGGCCCAGGAAACGAGCTGTTTCGATGGGTTCGGACCAGAGGGAGAGGGTTGTTAGTTGAGTCGGATTGAGCTGGCATGTAAAGAGGTGGTTGGTGTCGTGGGAGGACTCTCCACATGCCGGGCACTCATTGGGGATATTGGGGTCGAGTCTGGACAGGTAGCTGTTAAGGCGGCTACAGTATCGAGACCGTAATTGAGCAAGGGTAACGCGGGTCTCTCGTGGCAGTTGAAGCTCCGTCTCTTCCACAGGTGGTGATTGGGCTCGTATTACGGCATTCATAGGTCGAGAGTCGAGGTAGGTGGTAACTGACTCACTATGAATGTCGTTTATGGCTCGTCTGTATGTCGTCGGGTCCAATGGTTGGTCTATGTACTGTTGGACTACGTCCTTGTACACGAAAAGGTGCCCCCTGACGTGCCTGGGCGGAGGCTCCTCCTGAAGCAACAGTCTGTTAGGGTGTTCGCTTCTGTGACACCCCACCAGAAATTGCTTACAGAGCATTTTGTTGTGTTCCCTGACGGGGAGAACTTGGGCCTCGCTGTGCAGGTGGTGCTCAGGCGTCATCAGAAGGCACCCAGTCGCTGCCCGGAGTGCGGCGNTCCTAAGATTTTTGGGTTGTTTACAGTCGGTATTGGTGTGCCGTCGACGTGTATACCCAACTCTAGCCTGACCTCCTTCGTTCAGGTGGTGAAGAGGGTCGCCGTTGATTTCGTTGGGGAGTGTGTTAGGCTCTTTGCAGTGAAGAAGCGAGAAAGAGATTTGAGCAGAGGTCATCAATTCCATTCCCGGACGCCAAAATCGAGCAATCGTCAGCGTATGAGATCGGGGAAACTGCCTCAGGTGGTTGAGGAAGCTTCGAGATGTAGAAGTTAAATTGTAAGGGGGAGAGAACACCACCTTGTGGAACCCCTTGTTTAATCCTTCTTGGTTTCGAGGTTTGATCNCTCTTCCACAGGTGGTGATTGGGCTCGTATTACGGCATTCATAGGTCGAGAGTCGAGGTAGGTGGTAACTGACTCACTATGAATGTCGTTTATGGCTCGTCTGTATGTCGTCGGGTCCAATGGTTGGTCTATGTACTGTTGGACTACGTCCTTGTACACGAAAAGGTGCCCCCTGACGTGCCTGGGCGGAGGCTCCTCCTGAAGCAACAGTCNACCCAGTCGCTGTCCGGAGTGCGGCGTTCTGACAAGTCTGTAACTTCGTCCACTGCGTCCAACTAGTCCCCGGCGTCCAAAATGGCGCAGCATAGTTTAGAACCGGCCGGCCAATTGCCTTGTATGTTGCCAGCAACGCTTCTTTGTCTTTGCCCCAAGTGCTGCCGGCGAGCGACTTGAGGACCTTGTTGCGGTTCTGTACTTTATTGACAACTGCGGTTGTGTGCGTTCAGTAGGAGAGCAGGCTATCGAAGGTGACCCCTAAAATTTTCGGGTTATTTACAGTCGGTATTGGTGTGCCATCGACGTGTATGCCTAACTCTAGCCTGACCTCCTTCGTCCAGGCGGTGAAAAGGGTCGCCGTTGATTTCGTTGGGGAGTGTGTTAGGCTCCTTGCAGTGAAGAAGCGAGAAAGGCTGGAGAGATAGTCGTTCACATTTGAGCAGAGGTCATCAATTCCATTCCCGGACGCCAAAATCGAGCAATCGTCAGCGTATGAGATCGGGGAAACTGCCTCAGGTGGTTGAGGAAGCTTCGAGATGTAGAAGTTAAATTGTAAGGGGGAGAGAACACCACCTTGTGGAACCCCTTGTTTAATCCTTCTTGGTTTCGAGGTTTGATCTCGGAAGATTACTGACGACTGTCGACCACTCATATAATTCGCCTACCATCGCTTCAGTCCCCGTGGGAGTGAGGAGGCGTCGATGTCTTCTAGTAGCGAATGGCAGACGGTGTCAAACGCCTTTGACAAGTCCAGCGCTACTAGGACCGTTCTCTCACAGGGGCGGTTTCGATTTAGGCCACGAGTTATTTGTGTGTTTATGGCGTTAAGTGCTGTTGTTGTGCT